CCCCCCCGCGAACAAACACACACACACACACACACACACACACACACACACACACACAAACGATCGCGGCCTTTTTTTTCCCTTCCTCGATTGATTGATTAATTGATTGATTGATTAGAAGTGGGGGGGTCGCCTCCCCCCCCGAACACAGACACAGACACACACACACACACACAAACAAAAATGAGTGTGACAATGTATATTTCCATGTTTTAGCGAAAATTTTTCCACCACGAAAAATTTTCTTAATTTTTTTAATTAAATACTAACGTGAACCTCGAGACCCCCCCTACCATCCCTATGGGTCAATCTGCCCCCCTCCCCCCCACACCGGGGCCTGGCATGTTCGGAGAGACCGTCCGTACGCCAGTACGGTCGTCCATCCGTCCGTACACACAGGTCGTACGGAGACCCTCCGTACGCCGTACGGAGACCCCTCGTAAACCGTACAAGGGACAAGACTGCCCAAGTCCCATCCTAGGGGGCCAGTAGGGGGCTATCGACTCTAGGGGGAGACAGTTAGATTATGATAAGCCTTAGGGAGAAGGCGATAGAATGGAGGGAAGTTGGTTTCAGTGGCGACGAATCCCGGTGTTATGTAGTACTGGTGGTTCCGGGTGTTAGCACTGTTAGGGTAGTCCAGGATTTGGGAATTTCRTCTGATGGCCCTCTGGAAGTCCCAGACACATAGGCGATCGTTCTTAGTTTGACACGGATCGGTCGGGAGGCTCAAGTTCGACTGGCGGAGGAGTTGTTCGCTTTCCCAGTATTCTCGATACTTAGGCACCATCAGTGATCGAGAACGGAACGCAGACGTCCAAATTTTGCAAAAATGACTTAGCCCATTCATTCGTATGTACCAAGCGTGATTATTTTGGGGACAAGTCATGCAGGCACGTGTATACGTGATGACTGGCGTGCTGGCGGTCATTCGTATACGTGCGTGCACATAATCTTTCTTCAATAGAATTCGAGCCAATTTGCAACACACACATCTAATCTACTCCTGATATTACTATGAAGAGTCGGTATCCTCATACTTAATGCAACGGACAACCGTTCGATGCAACATCCATAATCTTATAGGCCGAAGTAAAAACCGAGGGAAGAATATTCCCTCGCATAAGATGTCCATCGCACATGCACTAGCCGGGTGAAAGATCCAACCCCTACCTAGGCGAGTGCATAGAAGTGGTCTCCGAACGGACTATAAACTACCCACTATGCATCCATTTATCCTATCACGGGTTGCTTTAGGGAGACAACTTCTAAAGGATTAACGCAACAAAACAGACAATCCATCGATGTTATATATACAAAAACTTGAACATCACACAGAAACAAAGGCGTGCAAAGGGGGTCGGGTTCCATACATCTTACAAATGCCTATTCCATGCATATCATAATTCCCCCGCTCGACGATCGACAAGCGACGGCAACCCTACATGCTTTCAAGTCATTCAAGCAATCAATCAATGTTTACGATCGTCAAACATTTTGTACTRCAAAAGGAAGAAATGAGGGAGATAAACATAATCCACACATTAATCAAGGAAAGGAAAATCCGATAGTGCCACAAACGAAGATAGTCGAAACCAGAAATCAAAATTATATAGAGGATGCGAAGAGATAACACTGTGAGCACTTCAGCACACCGCTCTCTCTCTCTCTCTCTTTCTCTATTAAAGTTTCCACGATGTGGGCAGTCCGTCACCTTGCACCTACCAACAATCTGAAGTTGTCATCACGCTTAATCCGAAAATGCAAGCCAGGTTCATCCGTGTGCCACAGTGCTTCGCGGCCACACATCAACCCCTCATACCCAGCACCATCTCGTCGGATCGCCCAACTCCCTACTCACTGTTTTGTCTCCATTCGTTGGTCGATCCTCTCAACCGCGCTAACTCCGAAATGTAAATTAGAGAGAGAATTTGTCACACTTGCAGGATTTATAACATTCAGTATCTGTGCGAGATAATTTCAGATTATGCTGAAGCAGGAGAGAAGAAGGAAGAAGCGAGTGCCTCGGGGTGTATGACTGACCGCGGTGTGGGGGACAAAACCACTCTCCACGCATCGATTCAATCATGCATCTTTTTGGCTAATGAGATAGATAGAAAAGAGGCGTAGGTTTTAGCGCGGCAGAAAATCAACAAGGATACACTCACATTCACCAAGAAAAGGAGCAAGAGGAGATTACAGTTGCGATTAGAATTTAGGCGTGGTGGGAGTAGAGCGTAGGAGAGTGCGCAGCAATGCGCGTGCGAGTAAGGAGCATCGTGCA